CAATAATATCGCTTATCGCAATTATTTCTGGGGCAATATATCGCACAACAAAAAGTTGTTATTGTGACAGGCCTAGGTGTAACGGTACACCAACATGTTATTAAATAATTCAGACATCAATAACCGGTAAAGTAAAACATAATGAGTACATAGCCAGCCTAGACTTATTTTCTAGCGAACTAACACGATGTGGACACTGATGACTTGCCTGAGGTAAATGAAATGCTACGTGAAATTGTTTACAAGCTGTTTTAATGACGTCTTTCCACGATTGAAACACTGATTGAGTGATTACATGAGGCATAAGATGTTCATTCAGTTTTATTTCACATTAAAACTAGAAGTAAAGAAGGAAGAGATGATCATGCTGACTCGCGCTCCGCGCAGCAGTTTAAACTGAGGCGTTTATACAGCGATCTGTCACGCCACATCAAAGAGCGCCAAAACAGCATTTATTGTCTGAATTTCCTGAAAAAAAAATTAATGATTTGTTCGGTGTACATGCGTACCGAACCGAAAGACCTGTACCGAAACTTTTCGGTACGAATGTGTGTACCGACACACCCCCTAGTGGAAACCATGATATACAGTAGTCAACATTTGAAGTGGATCAAAAAAGTTAATCAAAGTTGTGTATCTTTTTTTTTAATTGTAAATGTCTTTTTTGTCACTTTTGGTCAGTGTAAAGTATTATTTTAAAAAGCAAAAAAAAAAAAACTGTTACGATCTGTTATTCATTTTCTTTTTCTCTCATTTATTCAGCAACAAGAACTGGGAAATCACAACCACCTTCAGACATTCCCTGTAAGTTTGCTGCTTTTGAAATTGCACTATTTCTGATCTACTTGGTCAAGAGAGATGTTTACTATGTTTTGAATCATTTTCTGATATGTCGCAACAGCTCATAAAACCAGCTCCAGCGAGCCAGAGTATATGTGTAAGTGGATGGGGCTGCCGTATGCAGAGTGCACATGGGAGGATGACGCATTAATCGGAAAGAAATTTCAGGCCTGCGTTGATAGTTTCCAAAACAGAAGTGCCTGTAAGACAGTTCCTTCCAAAGATTGCAAGGTGAGTATGGCCCAATCCCAATTCTACCCCTTAGCCAATTGAGACACCCCTACCCCTTCATGTGAACGCGTGAAACGGAGGGGTAGGGGTGTCTCAATTCTCTTTTGGTTGGAGGGGTAGGGGAAGGGGAAGGGCCAGACAGCCCTTCAAACGAAGATTTTTCGGGACCACACTTCAAACGAAGGGGTATGAATTATCTCGGCGTAAACCGGCTTCAGGGGCAACATGGCTGCCCGAGCGAACAAAAAGACACAAAAAGCGATTTTATCCTCTCGTTGCTGGAAAATATGTATCGATTCCGTATTTAAACTGTTATTAATAAAAGTCGTGTGGCAGCGTTGACAAGTTTCTTTTCTCCTGGATGTGTGAGCTGCGCGATCTCCGATATATATATGTGTGTGTGTGTGTGTGTGTGTGTCAGTAAGCAGCGCATTAATATAGAACGGTAATTAAAGGCTCTAATGCACATCAGCACACCAGTATAGGTGTGTGTATTATAGGAGCTAGATGACATATGATGACGTGTGACGGCATAGTAGTGGTGTCTCAATTCTTAGGGGAATATTTTCACCCCTACCCCTTGACACTCAGTTTCAAGGGACAAGGGGAAGGGGTAGGCGGAGAGGTAGGGGAAGGGGAAGGGGTATAAAATAGAATTGGGATTGGGCCTATGAGATCGTGTACTGATGGAGCTTTTCTTTCTTCTTTGGGAAAAGGTGTTGAAGTTGTCATCTTTTCTTTTCTTTTTTTTTTGTCCACATGGAAGGTATTGAAACAGAGGCCAAGATTTGTGGCCTTGAAGAAGCAGCCTTCTTACATTGGAGATGAGGTCCTTCAACTCAGAGATTACCAGTTAGATGGAGTGAACTGGCTCGCTCACTCCTGGTGCAGGTATGTAACATACAAGTGGAGCTTTTAGTTAGAAATTTAATACTGTTACAGATGAAGTACAGGCATTGGCGTTCGATTTGTGTCAAAATATTATTTCTGTGCATAAAGCCTTGGAAGTATAAATAAAACTTAAACAACAGCAATTAAACAACGGTACTAAAAAGAGTATTGACTGTTTAATTACTGAAATAATTGCTTGGGAAAACCTTTAAATAATATTGACACATTGTAGAAACACTTCAAGGTTACATGTCATTTTGTTTTAATTTAATGAAATTTAAATGTCATTAGATTATATTAATATATATATATATTTATTTATTTATTTATTTATTTTATTTTTTTTAAAGGTTGTTTATTAAGGTTGATAATTGTTTATAATATCAGTGTTATTTTAGTATTATTGATATACTATTATTTATGAATATTTTAATAAAGCTTTTAATTGTTATATTTGTACTTTCATTTTAATTTTAGTTTAAATAATTTTGTTTTTATATTTATATTACTATTATTTTTACTTTTTGTATTTATTATTATTTTCATTAAATTCAGTTTTAGTAGTTTTAGTACTTCATCTTATTTTATTTAGTTGCTGAGATAAATTTTTTTATTGTCATTTAAGTTTTTTTGAGTTTTTCTTCTAATATTTATTGTTTGTTTTATTTCAGTTTTATTATTTTGATTAACAAACGTGATTTCAATAGTTTTAGTTAATTAAAAAAGTAGTTCTATCAAGCTTTCATTAGTTACTGCTTTTGAATGAACCATGCTTTCTTCATCTCTGGTTTCTGTGATGTTCTGTAGGTGTAACAGTGTTATCTTGGCTGATGAAATGGGCCTGGGGAAGACCATTCAGACGATCTCCTTCCTTTCCTACCTTTTCCATCAGCACCAGCTTTATGGTCCCTTCCTCCTGGTGGTACCCCTGTCAACCCTCACTTCCTGGCAGAGGGAGTTTGATACATGGGCCCCGGACATGAATGTAGTGGTGTACCTGGGAGACGTCACAAGTAGAAAGACAGTAAGCTAGTACTCATGCTGAGACAATCCAACCACAAAGAATCCAACTTGTTATAATAATGCTGGTTTGAGGTATAACTCTCTGTTTTTTGACCAGATCCGGGACTATGAATGGATCCACCAGCAGACAAAAAGGATCAAGTTTAATGCACTTTTGACCACATATGAAATTCTACTGAAGGACAAGGTATGATACTCATATGTTCGATTGAATCTTTTGTACTTGGATTGTTTGTCATAGAAATGAGTTGTATGTATAATAGTTGTATTGTATGTTGTATTGAGTCAAGACTTGTCTGTGCGTGCAGGGAGTGCTGGGGAATATAAACTGGGCTTTCCTCGGAGTTGATGAAGCTCACCGGCTAAAGAATGACGACTCGCTGCTATATAAAACTCTGATCGACTTTCGATCCAATCACAGGCTACTCATTACTGGGACCCCACTGCAGAATTCGCTCAAAGAGCTGTGGTCCCTTCTGCACTTTCTTATGCCTGACAAGTAGGTACTCACACTATGGTTTTGCAGGTTCATTTTTGCCATTTGCAGTCCACCAGAAAAATGTAGAGAAACTGAAAATATGTCAGAGTTAAAATGTTAATTTAAGACATTTAGTAAATATATTTTAGATTTTATATATATATATTGCAAAAACGCTGTACAAATAAATTTGAATTGAAAATGCATTGAAAAATGGCTGCTAAAAATACAGCTTAACCAACACAAGAATAAATGGCATTTTTTAATATATTAAAATAGAAACTGGTTATTTTAAATGGCAATAATTCACAATATTACTATTTTTACTGTGCTCTTGATCAAATAAATGCGGCCTTGGCGAGCATAATAGACTTAAAAAACACACACACACACACACACACTTAAAAAATCTGCAACGCTTTACAATAAGGTTCCATTTGTTAACCACATTTAATGCATTAACTAACAATGAACAATACATTTGTTACAGTATTAATCTGTACAGTATTAAACTTCATTGTTAGTCCATGTTATCTCAGGTCCATTAAATAACATGAATAGATAATAATGTATTAGTAAATGTTGAAATCTAAATGAACTAAGATTAATAAATGCTTTAGAAGTATTTTTCATTGTTAGTTTGTTAACTAATGTGTAACAAATGAAACCTCATCGTAAAGAGTTACCAAAAAATCTTTGGTCTTTGGTTACTAGAAAATCTTTAAAATCTTTGGAAACTTTTGAATGGTAGTGTATTTTTAGATAATTATTTAAGGTAAAGTTCACCCAAAAATCAAAATTCTGTAATAATTTACTCACCCTCTACCTGTTCCAAACCTTTATGAGTTTCTTACTTCTGTTGAGAACAAAAGAAGATATTTTGAAGAATGTTGGTAACCAAACACTTGATGGTAGCCACTGACTTCCATAGTATGGAAAAAAGTACTATGGATGTCAACGGCTGCCGTCAGATGTTTGGTAAATGATGACAGAATTTTTATTTTTTGCTGAACTATCCCTTTGAATTAAGTTATAATTACTTACTTGAAGAAATAAGCAGTACTCTTTATAATATTATATTTAGTATGTTCTCACACAGTATAAATGGGTCTTTTAACATGAACTTATGGAGCTGCCTTTATATTTTAGTTAGGGGATCATCATATTTGGGGGTTCTTGGTGTCAAAAAGTTTAAAACCCCTGTTTTTGACTTTACCTCCCATTAGGTTTGAGTCCTGGGAGGATTTTGAGGATGAGAATGGTAAAGGCAGGGATAATGGTTATCAGAGCCTCCACAAAGTTCTGGAGCCATTCCTACTGCGTCGTGTCAAGAAAGATGTAGAGAAATCCCTGCCGGCTAAAGTGGAGCAAATCCTCAGAGTTGACATGTCTGCCCAGCAAAAACAGTTCTACAAGTGAGTGCTGTTTTATCCAGCCTCTTTCCAATAGCTCTCTAAATCGAGTAACTCTTTGATTGAGCCAAATTTTTATTCCAGACTTTAAGACCGTATGCAATTGGAATGCAAGTGTTCAGAGAACATCTGTCATTTGTAATGTGACCTTTTCAGATGGATCCTAACAAGAAACTACAAAGCCTTGTCTAAAGGCACCAGAGGCAGCTCTTCTGGCTTTTTGAACGTTGTCATGGAGCTGAAGAAATGTTGTAACCATGGTTTTCTCATCAAACAACCAGAGGAGGTTGAGAATGAGAAAACACAAGAGCACCTACAGGTATGACCCTCCTAGATTGGAACAGAATGATTTTGTTCTTAGGAGAATGTCTTTTTTGAGGTTGTTTGTTAATGTTTGTTCAGAGCTTGGTGCGAGGCAGCGGGAAACTGGTTCTGCTGCACAAGCTTCTCACGCGTCTCAGGGAGAGAGGCAACCGTGTGCTCATCTTCTCTCAGATGGTCCGAATGTTGGACATCCTTGCTGAATACCTGTCTTTGAATCGCTATCCATTTCAGGTATGATCTGAACAGAACTGCAAAGTGTTAAATTGTCTATTTGTACAGCACCATGAACTAGGGCTGGGCAATAAATCGATAACGTTAATTATCGCACGATATAGATTTCCTCGATAAACTATAACAAGAGTTCGATAAATGTTTGATATAATGCGGCAAAGGCGGAACGAAAGAGCGCTAGTCGTTTGAAGCGCGCCACTCGGAGCGTTTATCCGCTCAGATCAAAGTTCAAACAGCGGCGCGAGCTTCACTAGAGCAGATGTGTTCACTCGCTGATGAGTCTTGCTGACGCGACACTGAACAGCGCTGTGAGATCCAGTGTGAAGCTCTTGAATTCAGCGAGGAACACAAATAACTCTGTTTACAGCAAGATGAAACAGCGCTGACAAACAGCAGAAAAACTGTGCGCAATGATACAGTCAGATGACTTTTTAATCTACAAATCGCCATCATTTACCATAGATTTACTGTAGTAGCACTAACTGCACCATGGTATTGTGTCAGAAATGTGGGTATTCGTGTCGAATTTTATTATATTATTAATGTAGACATGTATTAAATATATTGAAGGAGGAGTAATGGAATATTATACAGTATTTTTTGTGATTAAGCTATAGCGTTTATGCATTTATAAATGTATTTAGACTACTGTTTCTCATAAATCCCTACAAGCCATATTACATTTTTACCATGGTATTGATGTGCTATATTTGTGGTTTTTAACTGTGATTATCATGATCTAAATGTATGTTATGGAAGACCAATGGTTAAAAAAACACCTTAAACAGTCAGAATAATTACATTTCACCATATCAAAATGAGATTGCTACAATTTTTACAGATATTACTGATTTTGATAATGAACATAAATCTACATCTGCATCCTAACTCAA